CTAGATTTCGCGGGGGATAACGGTCAGAACTCCTGCTTGGGGTTTCAGGAACAGCCTTGTTAGCGACTAACCTCTATAAATTTGAAGTTGTGAACATAAAAAAGGTGTAAAAAGCTTACCAAAATTGAGCACTGAAATAATGTGACGACATGGGACCTTTGATAGAAGCTCATGGCAACCATTGCCCCAGCTATGGCTTGCATAGTGTGAATGAGAACAATTCCTACCATAAGTGGAGCAGTACGCCTAGGTGGGGGCACCAGGTAGGGTACTCAGATGAGCTTATTCAGGTCACTGAAAGAAACGTTAGAAATCCTAATCCCAGAAATGCTCAACTTGTACCATTTTTCCGCTTTACAAGAACTTACAGGCCTCACCCATGACAGACGTGTCAACTAACAAAAGCAAAAGGAACTAGCGAAAGTGCAAAATGCCCCTCTCGGCTGAGCAGCGCCCTTTTTTTACCCTTGCTGACTTTAGGCACGCGACCCTACTTCTGTCCTTTTCTGAATAGACATCATCTTTCAGGTTCGAAGAGAATGAGCCTTCCTTGAAATCGAGTTCTCAGAGGGAGAGTGGAGGATGCAGCGTTTACCGAACTCACCTTTATTTTCGCTAGGCTCTAGTTGCAACCGCTCACCGGGGGCCTTGTGAACGGACAGTGGGTATCCGCAATTGATAGTTGCCCTCAGAGAAGTGTAAGAGAAGTATCGACTTTGCATAGCGACACAATCTATAAGTACGACTATACTGTTCTCGTTGAGGAAAGTGATACCCCAAGAGTAGAAAGTTGGCTCATTTCGGCGACGATAGGGGGCATTTTGCACTGGCGCTGCTTCACTAGCTCCTGTTCATAAGTATTACTCTGATGACCTGTGAACACTTGTGAAGCATAGCAAGCTCGTCCAGTCACCATGGTAGGAACCTGTCAACTCTTGTAAGCTCATGAAATAGCTCTCTAGATGGCTCGACACGTTGATGGGAAGTAGCAAAGTGCAAAATGCCCCCTCCTCGCCGAAGTGCGCCAGAAAGTGAGCAGAACTTCAGTTAGCTCATAATACCAGCTCCGCCCACTGCAGCACCTCTCCTAGGGCATACTTTTTTCCTGTGCGTGAGTACGGAGTTCTTCTTTGTTTGAGAAGTCATCTGAAAGCGTGTCCGGGCAAAGTAGGCAACCGCTTCGAGGGGCGAAGCCGGCGAGACCTTCTCGCGTTTTGATTTACTTCACATGATTTCTTCACTCACTTTCATGGCTAATCGTCTCAGTCGGATTATTCACCTAAGCGACTTTTTCTTAGTAGTTATTTTGATGATGCAGTCGATTATCTCCCTACAGCGAGTTTCTTTCGATTAGTTTATTTTATAGGCTGGCGTTTTATACTTGCGGGCAGCGTAGCGTAGCGTAGCGCAGCGTAGCGTAGCGCTTCCAGCGTACGCCAGCGGCAGTGCCGAAGAGAAGATGCATATCGATCTAGCTTCACCAGCGTCACCAGCGGCACGCTGGCGTACGCTAGCGTGCGCTAGCGCCACGCTAGCGTACGCCAGCGGCACGCTAGCGCACGCTGGCGTAGCGAGGGCACGGGAAGCATAGCTATCGATCTAGCTTCACATGGCGTTTTCTGCCGAGCTTTCTCCACGGACCAGCGTTTTTCGATTCGCTTGCAGCAGGGCAGGAGTAGAGGGACTATGGGGCGTGAGAGACGCAGAAGCGATGTGCATTCGTTAGAGATCTAATAGTGCCCGTCGAAGACGCAAAAGCGATGTGCATTGTAGAGACTATGTGCCCGTCGAAGACGCAGAAGCGATGTGCATTGTAGAGACTATGTGCCCGTCGAAGACGCAGAAGCGATGTGCATTGTAGAGACTATGTGCCCGTCGAAGACGCAGAAGCGATGCGCATTGTAGAGACTAAGGGCGAGTGAGAGACGGGCAATCGATGTGTTTTGTACCCTCCAGCTCTCCCATAGTCTCTATTCCCCTGCCGCTGCAAACGCTAGCAAAACGCTGGTGAAACGCTGGAGAAACGCTGGCGTACGGCTAGCGCTAGCCCGCGTAAGCGTACACGCCAGCGTGCCCTCGGTGAACGCTGGTGAAAGCTTAGATCGATATGTGCATCCTCTCTTCGGCATGCCGCGGGCGTACTGAAGCGCTACGCGTACGTACGACTACGCTAGTGCCGCAAAGTATAACGCAGCCTTAATGACGCGAGGCTATTTCACTCAAGTGCAATTCCCACCGTGCGGATAGTGAGGGGAGCAGAGAGGAGTTTTTCAGTTGCATATGTTCGCAAGGTTAGTAGAGATTGGTCGCTGTACGTCGATGCTAAAGAGTCAAGCAGTCCTGACCCAGAATCCTCGAATGCGCCACGAATTTGCAATGCTTATCTTTCTGTAAAGTCACAAACAATTCATTGCCCATTTATTAGATATCCGTCAATGGCTACCTTGGTTTTGCCACTGTACTCGATCCAAGGTCCTACAATCAATGTGGGACCTGAGAACACGGATTGGCCTCGTCAACAGGATCCAGCGATGATTGCACCTTATTTGTGCAAGCAACAGGTACGCTAAGAATACACCCCTTGACGTCATCAGAATTTAGCCTTTTAGGTTCCTCAAAGCGGTAATCCTGCACTTCGCGCTGGCATTTTCTATCGCCTCATATTGCGCCAGTCTTTGTTCGGACAAGATTCCAACTCGAACTTGAACCTTGGTAGGATTTCACTTAATACCTTGACTTTTCAATAAAATCCAATGATGCTGAGTAAATGCTATTTTCAGGCGGTACAATGCAACAGAGCACCTTTTTCGGTCAAAAACCTGAACTGGTTTGTCTAATAACCATTATGGTAAAGATGAGATGACCTCAACCAATTATTCCCCTTTTAGGCCTGCCCAGGAACGCCGGAATCGTATGCTAGGTGTGATTCTCAAAGCGACTACTTTCTCGATGAGATGATGAGATGGCTACAAGGTGCGGCCTTTTCTTCTGGGACTGACATACAGTCATGATCCCTGCAAATAATAGGGCGTGTGATGGGGCGTGGCTTGGAGTGCAGGCAGGCAGCCTTTCTCACCAATTGCAGAGGCTCAGGACGGCATCAGTGGTGGATAAAGACCGTCTAACTGCGCTCCAATCCTAGTCCGACAAACGACCTATCGTTTGCGGAGATCATTACTGCAGTTTGTTCTTATTGGGAAGTTACTGGGTAATACAAAGTGGGAAAATGGCCATTCGGGGTCTTTCAGAAGGCGTTGCTGGTGCTTCAATGTTCCGTGCAGACGCTGCCCTCGTTGTCACTTGGCATAACACGGCCTCTGCTATTGCCGGTAGATCAGATATCGATGCTGGACAAAGTGCTACCTATCAAGTAGGTTTCGCATTCATTGCCTGTCATTCTGTTTACAAGAGCTTTATTGATTGATTCTATGATAGTTTCATTGATTGATATTGATGTTTTTGTAGGTGTGCGTTGTTTCCTGTTTTTCTGGATCACGGGCGCTATTCACATCGCTGGGAGGATTCCAATGGGGAAAGAGAGGGTGGCTTTGGGAGAATTTTGTCGCGTTGAGAAATCTCCGCCCCTCTCCAATTGGTGGCGTTTCAGAACTATACAACTGCTATTTCCATTTAAAGACAGCGCCGCGATGGACTTTGGCAGGTCTCAGGGGTCAAATTTGTTAGAACAGGTGGCCAATGAAGCACTAATCAAAAAAAGTAGGAAAAGGTGTGGAAGAGCGTGAAATAAGACCCTACGAAATTTAAGGCATGTGGACGAGTTTCGCAGACCTTTGTTGAGTTCTCCAATACACGTCGCGGCCTCGGAACTCCAGAAACTTAGCGTTTATCAATGCCAGCAAGCAGTGATAACTGTTAACCAGTCGGGGCGGGATTAACAGGGAAGGAGGCGTCAGCTCAGCCTTGTTGACTCCGCCCTCGTCAATCAATACATTTCGAGCCGCAAGAGTGGGATATCCGCTATGTTGCATACTCCGTTTTCATTGGAGGGTATTTTTCACTCTTGGTTGAATTGCGGACGGGGGGCTTTTTTTTATTGCCTTTAAACTAGTAGAATTTGGTCTGCGTGAACGTAACTCTCTCCCCTCCCTTTCACCTCACTCAGCTGACAAATTCGATACGCAGAAATTTCGAGATTTTCGGTAGAAGAGGTTAGGAAGCTTGGGAAAAGTTAGTCAAAGATAGTACGCGGGATGGGTGAGGCAAGGCATGGAAAGAGGGGGGGCGGGAAGTGCGTAACAAGGAATCGAAGAGTTCGCGCTGAAAGTGAATTTATCTCGCGACTCATTAAGGCGCAAGGCGAGGTACTGAAATACCTTATTTCCAGGATTACTGCCAACGAAAACGATTTTCAGGCTATTGGATGCTGACGATCAGCCAGGACGTCTATCGTACGTTATTCTCAACTACGATCGGCTAGGTTTTGATGCTCAGGACTTCCGGGCGAATTCGAGGAGTGGACGCTGCCGAGTATGTCCTTGACATCTGTATTTTATGACGCAGTTTACAAATTACCTGATTTAAATTATTTAGGCCCTCTTCAATGGACATGAAATCACACCGGCGTGTTGTTGGAAGTGACCCCACACAAGCTTATAAAAAATACACCAAGTAGCGGACAGTTTTTTTTTCGTTAATGATCAACAGATTATTTCAAAAAATAGGGAGTTTATACGATTGTTCCTCTTATTAGATCTAGCAGTGCCACCTGCAAACCGTCAGCGTTTTATTGTGGCCCAACTGTTTTTCCTACTGTTTCGGGTAACTTCGCTACTCCTCCACTTCTCCAGCGTGTAATTGATCCTACCTCTGAATAAGGGAGGTAGAAGCGAGAGGGGGTCTTACTTTGTCGCAGGAGGGAAATGTTCGCATTTTGCCTGAGAAATTTCTTTTGATAGTTGATGTTTTCTGCTTCACGCAAACTATCCACAACGTTAGGGAGGCTTCCATTGGAGGGGATCGCATTTGCTGGTCTATTTGAGAGGGGCTGCTCCCCTCCCACCTCCTCGCTGACTTGGTGAGATCTTAGAGAAAGGGTAAGTAGAATAGGGGAATGGAGGAAGGGAGGTAGTATCGGAAGAAGGAAAAATTTTTGGGGAGGTTGAGGGGAGGGGGTTGTGTTCTGCAAAAACCTCCCCAGCGATGGTGCTCTGTGAAGAGTACCTAACAGCACACAAGGAAGGAGGATCGCCGAGCTTCACCTGAAAGTCCAACAGGCCCTCTATAGAACGATGTGGTTGCAGTTTTGAATCTCCTTTTATCCCTCTGATCAGGTGGTCGGAGTTGCTCGGATAAATTGAATTGCGAATTTAGATACTGGCGCAACGGTCTGGTGTGCCTCATGTGGTCCGAGGTCGTTATATGTTCCGTGTGGACGACGTTGTCCGTCCAGCCGGTTGTAGCAACAAAACGGGAGGAA